TCTAAATCAATTTTTACTAGTACCTTACTAGTAACAATTGAATTAGAGAGCTCTCTAAATGGAATTCTTACTAGTAAAAACTGAATTCAAGAGCTCTTTAATTCGAATTCTTACTAGTAAAAACTGAATTCGAGAGCTCTCTAATTGTTGTTACTAGTAACAATTAAATTAGAGAGCTCTCTAATTGGAATTGTTACTAGTAAGAATGCAATTGCAGAGCTCTCTAATTCAATTACAGAGCTCTCTAATTTAATTGTTACTAGTAAGAACTGAATTAGAGAGCTCTCTAATTGTAATTTTTACTAGTAAGGATTGAACTGTAGAGCTCTCAAATTGAATTATTACTAGTAAGAATGCAATTGCAGAGCTCTCTAATTCAATTACAGAGCTCTCTAATTTAATTGTTACTAGTAAGAACTGAATTAGAGAGCTCTCTAATTGTAATTTTTACTAGTAAGGATTGAACTGTAGAGCTCTCAAATTGAATTATTACTAGTAAGAATGCAATTGCAGAGCTCTCTAATTCAATTACAGAGCTCTCTAATTTAATTGTTACTAGTAAGAACTGAATTAGAGAGCTCTCTAATTGTAATTTTTACTAGTAAGGATTGAACTGTAGAGCTCTCAAATTGAATTATTACTAGTAAGAATGCAATTGCAGAGCTCTCTAATTCAATTACAGAGCTCTCTAATTTAATTGTTACTAGTAAGAACTGAATTAGAGAGCTCTCTAATTGTAATTTTTACTAGTAAGGATTGAACTGTAGAGCTCTCAAATTGAATTATTACTAGTAAGAATGCAATTGCAGAGCTCTCTAATTCAATTACAGAGCTCTCTAATTTAATTGTTACTAGTAAGAACTGAATTAGAGAGCTCTCTAATTGTAATTTTTACTAGTAAGGATTGAACTGTAGAGCTCTCAAATTGAATTATTACTAGTAAGAATGCAATTGCAGAGCTCTCTAATTCAATTACAGAGCTCTCTAATTTAATTGTTACTAGTAAGAACTGAATTAGAGAGCTCTCTAATTGTAATTTTTACTAGTAAGGATTGAACTGTAGAGCTCTCAAATTGAATTATTACTAGTAAGAATGCAATTGCAGAGCTCTCTAATTCAATTACAGAGCTCTCTAATTTAATTGTTACTAGTAAGAACTGAATTAGAGAGCTCTCTAATTGTAATTTTTACTAGTAAGGATTGAACTGTAGAGCTCTCAAATTGAATTATTACTAGTAAGAATGCAATTGCAGAGCTCTCTAATTCAATTACAGAGCTCTCTAATTTAATTGTTACTAGTAAGAACTGAATTAGAGAGCTCTCTAATTGTAATTTTTACTAGTAAGGATTGAACTGTAGAGCTCTCAAATTGAATTATTACTAGTAAGAATGCAATTGCAGAGCTCTCTAATTCAATTACAGAGCTCTCTAATTTAATTGTTACTAGTAAGAACTGAATTAGAGAGCTCTCTAATTGTAATTTTTACTAGTAAGGATTGAACTGTAGAGCTCTCAAATTGAATTATTACTAGTAAGAATGCAATTGCAGAGCTCTCTAATTCAATTACAGAGCTCTCTAATTTAATTGTTACTAGTAAGAACTGAATTAGAGAGCTCTCTAATTGTAATTTTTACTAGTAAGGATTGAACTGTAGAGCTCTCAAATTGAATTATTACTAGTAAGAATGCAATTGCAGAGCTCTCTAATTCAATTACAGAGCTCTCTAATTTAATTGTTACTAGTAAGAACTGAATTAGAGAGCTCTCTAATTGTAATTTTTACTAGTAAGGATTGAACTGTAGAGCTCTCAAATTGAATTATTACTAGTAAGAATGCAATTGCAGAGCTCTCTAATTCAATTACAGAGCTCTCTAATTTAATTGTTACTAGTAAGAACTGAATTAGAGAGCTCTCTAATTGTAATTTTTACTAGTAAGGATTGAACTGTAGAGCTCTCAAATTGAATTATTACTAGTAAGAATGCAATTGCAGAGCTCTCTAATTCAATTACAGAGCTCTCTAATTTAATTGTTACTAGTAAGAACTGAATTAGAGAGCTCTCTAATTGGCATTGTTACTAGTAAGAATTTAATTGTAGAGCTCTCTAATTGAATTGTTACTAGTAAAAATGCAATTACGACGAGTAACGCTGGGGATATTTTAAGCTAAAACGGCTTGCCATACACAGGAGCCTTTACCAAATCTTTTTCGCCAATATTATTACAGTATTCCAGTTCGCCAGTATTATTACAGTTTTGACTGAGGGTGCTTTTGACTGACTGCGTGAGAAAATGGAAGTGTGAGAGAGCGTGAGAAAAGTGTCAAGATAGATAGATAGATAGACTGTGGATCATAGCATAGTGGGGCATACAACTTGATAAGAATGTTTTGTTTAAAAATTCAAACAAAAGAGTTTTGTCTGACATCTGGACATGCTAGTTAATGTCATGATGACTGGTACTGTGTTTTTATTATACAATTATGTAAAATAACTGTTGCAGTACTTCAAAACTAATAACTTTTCACCACAAGAATAGAATGTCTCCATGTTTTTGAGCAAAGTTACATTCCTCTACAATCTGTGCATCAACTCCCACCCTGTTGTCTCATTTGAAATATAATAAATAAACGATTGCTAGGTTTAGGTTTTTGTCTAAGAAACAAAAGGAGCGAAGAGTGCACATGTAAAACTATTTCTGATAAGGAATGTATCAGCTCAGCAGCTTGTGAGATCATTTAAATTGCAAGGATGTTTAGCGTGCCCAAATGATGGAAAGTGGACACTTGTCAGAAAAAGAAAAGCCAACCCCAGTATTTTCAGCATTCCTAACATTTTCCTTCTCTTTCTAATTTGGTCTTTTGGAGCCCAGTCAGTGTGGTTCATGCCCATAGAATTACATAAAGCTGGAAAGATGAAGGACAGTACAAACACGTGTCTGGAAGAGACATTTTTGCAATTCATTCCGGCACCTGCATACACACATATATCCCTACATGCACCATAAATACAAAATAATAAAAGCATTTATGTATAACTGGATAACTATAGTGGTCCAAGCGAATACTTCTCATATTTTTGTACTCTAATTTTCATAAGTAAAAGCTTAGAGAGAAATGCAAAACAGATCTTTCTAAAGCGGTCTGATGTGTTTATAAAAATACCATCTAAGTATTTAAGTATCATATCACAAGTACTCGGCCGCCAACATATGGCCTCAATAAAGCAGTCAAAAACCCTCCCAGCAATTTGAATGAATTGGATATTTGCATGCCTGTTCTAGTTGCAATGTCCTCCAACTGTGGTTTTTACTACATACCAAACTTCCTACTGTTACCTTTGCCGTCGGCCTGGTTTATAACTGGAGAGGAACAATATAGATGCTTCTTCTACTGTCCTTTCATTATTTTGAGCCCTCCAGATTCATACTTCCTGCAAATACATCACTGCTTTGCCGGGAGTGCGTGTCAATTAACATTCCTGGTCTTGGTCTGTCATGGCATTGTAAATCTTATATACTTCACCTCCTTTTTTTCCATGAACACACACCCCTCTTCCTACCGGGATGAAAAGAACGATGAGGAGAGCGATATGTCTTTGAGGGCTTTGGCATAACCTGTCTGCAACTTGCCCTTCGTTTTGTCTTTCAGATTTATAGGTAGTGCAAAGTTTACTAGATTTACTCGCAGCTAAATCTCGAGCTCAAAGAATATGGGATCTTTCATTTAAGTACAGTGATTAAACCTGACATAAAAGCCACAGCTTTGGAGCAAGATAGTGTTCCAGCATAACGTGCACTGATGGTCGGGATGGAATACATTTGGATCATTAGATAAATGAAGACTGTTTTCTCTGTGATGTGTCTTCCAGCTCACAGCGTTCACAAATTTCCTGATCTTCAAGGGTCATGCCAGCATGACCACAAACACTGCCCTTGGAAATTCCATGAATTCCCTGTGGAACATCATGCGGGTTTGTGAATATGATTTTATACAGGATCAGGCAAATCAAACAAAGGGCTGGTCAAAACACAAAATACCTCATTCCTACTCTCTATCACACACACACACACACACCTACATAGATTGTGTAGAAATACACAAACATTTTTTTCTAAAACATTTATATTCATCTTGCATACAAGCATACTAAACTTTGCTAACTTTTTGGAAAGTAGCAAAACATTGAAATAATTGCATCTATAAAAGTAATGTCCTTAAAGGGACAGTTCACTCAAAAATGAAAATTCTGTCATCGTTTACACACGATCATGTTGTTCTAAACCTGTATGTATATATATACACACACATTATATATAGAACAGACCATTTAGGTTTCCATTGACTTCTATTGTATGTGCCAAAATATAAGTGAGTAAATGATGACAGAATTTTCACGTTTGTGTCAACTTTCCCTTTAAATACATGACTAATAGATTAGACTAACAGAAACATTTTTTTTTTTGTATGGTATGGTATGGTTTTTTGGTATTCCTATGTCTCTATTTACAGCATTACCGTTCTCTTTAAGATTGAAAAGAATTAGCATTAATTAAGGGTTAGCATCATCATATGTGCTTGACCTCAAGAAAAACACTAGATATATTGCTTGTCTTTTTCAGGTTCACTGTATAAGCACACAAAAGACTGTAAGTGAACTATAAGCCAAAACCAGTAATAAACCATTAGATGAAAATACAGAACGCGATCAGTATCACAATACTGCCATCAAGTGGCTGTTAAGGACACTACCACTGTAGGTCACTGACCTTCAACTAAATGTTACACTTGATTTCATGCGTTTCAAATTTCAAAGGCATTCTTAAAATGATCAAATATGTTAACCAACACCAGTGAGCAATATGATATAAACTACATATGATAGGCAAGTATAACAAGTGTTAAACTGTAAGTGAATGGAAATCAGAGCAAAGCCAAAGAACAACAAAAAACAGAAACAGGCAGAGTGAATGACCATTTAATGATCTGCAAAGGTGTTAACAAACAAAATTTATTTTACATCTTTAAATGTCCTCATAGAGGAACCGCAAAATACACTCAAAATGATGAAATAAGATAAATCAGACAAAATTTTAAGATCAGCTGTATCCGTTTACTCTTCCTTTTGGCATTTTGATATTTTAAATTTGTATATCAAAAATGTAAGTGCCTTCAAAATGACCATGAGAGAATTTGTAGTAACCCAAAGAAACTGCAAAACTAAGACTCATGGTTTACTTTCTGCATCGGTTTTCTTTACATACTTTTGTTTTGTCTTACAAAACAAAGACAGAGAAAAAAAAAGCAACACAAAATGAAAATGATTATTTACAGCTTGGCTCAAGGAGACACCAATCAAGAAAGGAGACCAAAAAAGCCGGTCTCTATCATGTCTCCTGACAGATTTGTACATATTTTCATTGTTTTTTTTTCTCTTTACAAAGTATATTTACCACTTGCATTGCACTGTTCTTGTTGGACATTCAGAGGTATGTTCAAAAAACCAAGAAAGAAACAGTGGAAAACAGAATTTAACACTTCGGGGGTCCTAAGGACAGTGTCAAGATCCCCCCCAATAGTTACTGACATGAAAATAAAAAAGGTAGAAATAGAGGTAGGGGACAAAAAGCATAAAACAAGGCAATGTAAAAGCAGACCTTAAAGATCAAGTGACAAATACAAAGTCAAGTATCAAAATAAAACGATGAATCGTTTTCTCCATTTAAAAATTATGGCACAGGATGGATTTCAAAAACGTCAACAAAATAGAAATCTGAAATGATACTCAAGTGGTAACTGACAGTTCAATTTCACGGTTGACGGCAAGAGGCTGTCAATCTTGTTATGCTTGTCAACTGCTTTGAAAGTCTTTAAATATACATCATATTTACAACCAGGCCTTCGCCCGATTCACTTTGCAAGTATTAAGAGGAAAGCGAAAAAAAAGTATTCATACAATCCCCAATTGAGGCATCAAGTGTAAACTGTACAACTCACAATGCTCCCACATTTTATCCCTTTCGGAGATAACAAGGACTATATTGAGAGCCATTTCTACAAATAACATGGAAGTAACTTGTTTACTTATGATTGAACAGTAGCTGCTTTATATTACATTATTATTTATTATTTTTGTGTTTTTATAAAATGTGTCAAAGGAATTTAATTGAACTACTTTGACTTGATAACATTTTTAGTCTCTACCACAAAAACGGCTGGTGAATGAAGCAAAGTAATAAAGTAAAATTACAATTTCAATAACCAAATTTGTAAACTTGTTTTTCTTCTTTTTTTTTTATTTTCATAACATAGTGCAATGATTGGTCTGATTATTCTTCAGAAAATAAATCTTAATCAATAAAACGTTTCTTAACCACGTCCTAATAATCCCAAAGATCTTCAGTGTTTTAAAAACCATAGATACAAATCTCCAAAAGAAGAAAAAGAAAAGAAAAAAAAATGATCAGAGAATTGATCGTTGTAAATAGCTCCATTTATCTCGGTGTACTATAAGGTGATACACAGTTAAACGGATGCGGCAATGAGTCAATGGATTAAAAGGCTGGTGAAAGAACAAAAAAAAAAAAAGAGTGAATACATGGCCAAAAAGGAGTAAACTTGACTAACATTGAGGTGCTTTCCAGAGTACAAAAACAAAAAAAAATGTTAAGTCTCAAAGGCTGGTGTTGGCATGTTGGTGTGGGAAGCTGGGATCTCCCTCTTATACAGAAGCTATAACAATCATAAGATGTGGAGAGATACTGGAGATGCTATTGAGAAGGTCTGGAGCAAGATGAGACAAGTGGCTTTCAGAAAACTCGCAAGGAGGGAAAATCTGGACAACATAGGCTGGCTACAAGGAAGAAAATTATTTGTTAGTGGAATGTACAATTTTAAGTCAGCAGATGGCTAAAATATTTATTTTCACATATGGAAGCATCTAATCTTTAATGAGTGGTTAGACATCAGCATCTTGCCAAGCTATTTTCTTCCAGGAAAAGTCTGTACTGCACATGATTATAACTGTCACTGTAATTTTCATTCTTGAGAGGACTGACCTGATTTGAGCCTGGGTTTGGGACATTGATAATTCCAGCAGCTTGTTTTGCTTGCAGGTAAGTGATGAAACCAGTTTTAAGAGCATGGGTCTGGTTGTGGACATCCTCTTGGTCCAGTCCACAAGGCAATGCCAACAGAAGGCAGTATTCATTTTCAGCCTAGGAAGAAAAGTTTTTTCCTTTAAATTCCCAATACTGTCCTGACATTTCAGTAGATTTTGTTTTGCTTAGTTTTGATAGATATGGATAAATTAGATTTAACGTGGTTTGAGAAAGGGCTATAAAAGTAGACAGGATGCTTACAGTCATACGTCTTGCAACTCCCTCAAGTTGTGAGGCCTCTAAGCGCATTCTCTGGGCAATGCGAAGAAAGGCACCTCCTTCTGGTGGCGGCAGTGACCGGTGAGCCAGAACACTGTTACCAGACACAAAGTGCAGCTGTACTGCTGCAGTGTCATTCTTAAGTGCCAGGTGACCTTGCCAAATAATTGGGTATTTCTGCTTAAAGGAAGACAAAAACTCTGTTACAACCTAAAGAATGTGTTCTATTGAATTTCTGATGGAATTTAAAAACGAATAGAAAACTTAATAAAAAAAGTTTACAAACCGTTAACAACTGCACCATATCAACAGACCGAAGTCCTGTGCGGTCAAGTTTAAAGTCTGATCGCATCTGAGAACTGGCTGAGGATGGCGGTGGCATCTGGTTAGGTCCCTTCTGCACGGAGATAGGCAACTCCAATTTGGGTGTTATAGTCACTGGAGAAGTGTAAGAGGGGGAGCCAGTCTCACCCTGAACCCGTGATATGTGAGACAAATCCATGGAGCTTGGGTGTCGAATGTGAGAACCGTCAAGTTTTGATTCTCCATAACTTCCCACAGACTCAATGGAGGAGACAGAGGGAACCTTGTGTCTCTGACCATGATCAATTTGTGAGACCTGATAAAGAATGTACATCTTAAATCAAGACAAGATTTGAAAAAAAAAAAAAAAGACACTTTCCTGGCTAATGATTAAATGTAATACACAAATTAGGATTGTAGAGCACAAAACAAACTCTCACCTGTGACGCAGCTATTCCACGATTAGCCAAGTTAATTCCAATTACTGAATGACTTGGATACTGAGGATGGAAGCCACGCATTTCTCTGTAGTATTCAGACATGGAGTTTGCATTTCCAGAATGAATCAACTGAACTCCTTGAGGAGATACCATCACAGAGCCAGGTGGGTGTCCTATTATCCTATTGTCAGAGTGAGGGGAGGGTGGCATCTTAAGCTCCATTGCTTTTGGTGCATCCCTCACAGTCTGTGGAGCGTTCTTTACCACAGGGGAGACTTTAGAAGTAGTAGATGATATGTGTGAAGGCGACTGCATTGCCTCTGGTGTTCGAGTTTGGTGACTTTCAACAACGCCTGGATGGTCAGTCAAATGCTGGTGCACAAGTAGATGCACATCTCTGGCATACTGATCTAGACACAATGCTCTGTGATGCAGACCTTTGAATTCGGGCTGCATTACTATGCTTTCCGGTTGTAACTGTGGTGCAGAAGCTCTACGAAGTCCTTGAGGGAGACTCTGCAGATCATCATTGCTTGTCCCAACAACTTGACCATCAACAGATGAACTTGCATGTGACTTCAGTACATCTCTGATCACTGCAGGCTGAGGAGTCATGGAGCGCTGTGGAGGTGCAGATCGAGGTGATAATAGATTTTCTGAACGGATTCCATAACCTATTCCAGATAATGATGGAGTACTGGCTCTGACATCTCCTTGGGACAAATGACCTATAGGCACAGATTGGGTGACACTATGAGGGGGCATGATCACCGACTGCTCAGCATGGTGTTTATTTGACACATACTGAGATATAGGACCAGCTGGTCCCAAAACAACCAAGCTGGTAGGAGGACAAATTTTTGGAAAGGGTGACGTGGAATGGCCTGATGCCCTTGGAGAATGTGAATCTTGCTTGGGTTGTGAGACCACCCTTTCATGTGCAGTACTTGGACTTAGGATGTGATTGCCTGCCAGAGATGGGTGGTGTGGACTTAAAACTGTTTTAACATAGAAAAAACTTGATGGTTTTATCTCAGCTTTCATTGAAACCGTTTCAGTTGCTCCATTTTTCTTAATATGCTGCTGCTGTGTAATTGACTGACCATACCTCAGAAGTTGAGGATGGCTTGTGGATTGCTGGAAGGTTTTCACAGAACCTGCTTGTAGAGCAGTGTGGTAGGATGGTTCAGATTTTTCAGAGCTAAGACTTTCCTGATTAACTGAGGAAATAACAGGCTGAGCACTGAATGTTTGGCCAGCTAATACTACCCCTGCGTGTCCATAACCTGTAGGTGTCTGTGATCCTTTTGGGGTAGAGGGGTGAGATGGTGGTTCTTGTTTTATCTGTGATTTTGTTACAGACTGCTGAAACTCTATATCCATGGCACTGGCTGGTGGGATTTGACTTATTTTAGCAATGATCCGCTGTGGTCCCTCTGTCTTTTGTCCAGAATAACTCAAAACTACCACACCTTCGGATGTATTGACCCTCAAACCAGTACTTGACCCTGTGTTACAATGTGTGCTTTCGACAACAGGGCGCCCAACACTTCCGGCATCATCAGAGGGGTTAAGCCCCTGATACCTGCTATTTTCATTCAAGCCTGTACGATACTTCTGCTTGGGTAAGGACATACCAGGGCTACGGTTGCTTAACGAGATGTGAGGAGTGTCCTCAAAATCAAAGGGCATAGGGATCCGACTAATTACTGAAGTAGCGGTGGAAGTTATAGCCAGTTTTTCCTTTAGGATCTGTGGTGACTCACATTGTTGCAGAGTAGGTGGCTGGGTTGGTGCTGTACGGGGTACAAGTTGAGTTACAGGGCTAGGTCTGTCTTCGGGTAGAGAAGTCTTTAAAGGCAGCACAGCCTCAACTGAATTTTTATTACCAGACATCCGTGGATCTGCTAATGTGGTAGTGAACTGCATACTTGGGACAGCATTGCTATTTGAAGCAGACACATACTTCGGTTCCATTAGAATCTTTCGCAGTGTGCTGGAGCTTGGGTCAATATCAGAGGCCTTTGTGTCAGGGGGCATGGGGGGATTTGCTGGGGGTCCCCCAACTCCTGGTGTAGACAGTGCCACAATCAATTGCAGCAGCCAGTTCAGTTTCACTTGCTGGATTGGCAGGCTTTTCTACTTCTGCATCATCTGCACGTTGTACTATAACTGGTGATGTTAGGGTAGCTGGTTCAGCACGAGGCTCTTTGTAAGGTGCTGGATGCTGTTCGTCTGTAAGTCTTGAAATATTCTCCACTGCTCTTTCCAGTTCCATTTGACGGGCAAGCAAGGCAGCCACAGGATCAGTAGGAGGCTCCATTTCTGAAAGAGTCCCCTCCTTTTCCTCAGGACTGTGAACATCTTCCTCGTTGTGGTAAATTGGGATGGTTGAGTCTTCGTTTACTATCTGTGTGGTTTTGGTTTTCAAAGACCCTTCCAAACTTACAACTTTGTTATCACCTGAATGAAGGGCATCCTTAACTGTATCCACAGTGAGATTACCAACATTGACAGACTTATCATCAGGTATCAATTTGGTGTTCCGGGTTGACCTTGATGCCTTGACTTTCTTCTGATCTAATGCCTGTGTTTTTTCTACAGAAGTGATTTCTATATTGTTATCTGTTGATTTTTCTTCAGCAGGATGTGCAAGTCCCTTTTCTCTTTTAGATATGTTATGTTGTTTGGTATCTTGTGACAATTGTCCAACTTGCATTGAAGTTTCATCTTTGGATTCATTCTGGTGATCTAGGGCAGGTGACACATCAACCGCTGCTGTGTCTGACTGAATGGGTTCTGGGCTACTTGAAACTTTGTCCAATTTCAATGTTTTTCTAATTTGCCCTGCTCTTATTGGTGAAGACTGCCCCTTTTGGGATCGCGGAGAGCGCCAAGTCTCTGCTGTTTTAGATATTTCTCCACTACTTGTTGACTCCTTATTTTCAGTATCTTCACTCTCAGAATTTTTTGTCTGATCTCCTTTAACTGGAGACATATCATCACCTCTTTTGCGAGTCTTGGGTGGACGACCTCTCTTGCCAGGTGTGGTTACCATATGTTGTGTTGCAGCCTCCTTATCACTACAGCGCTTACGGGTTGAACGAGGAGGTTCTGTAATTTCTTTTCCTGGTTGTTGAGAAGCCTCATCCTCATGGGGTGTTGCATAGACAGATCGCACATTCCGTCTCTGCCGTGTTTTGCCATGGCTTGTGTTTGATTCAAGGCCCTGATCTGAATCTGTTGCATGAACTGGAGATTTTGCCGAGTTTTTGGGGTCAGCAATAAGTTTTGTAGAGTCTCCTCTGGGAGATGAGGATCTTTTCAGCTTTTCTTTATCAATGCGTTCACTCTTTCGTGTAGCTGGTTTCTCATTAGCAACCTGAGGGATTGGTGTTGGTGAGGCAGTTTTTACCTTTTTACTCTTGGGTTGTTTATGTAGTGGATGTACCTGTTCAACCTCAGGTTCTGTTTCTGGCAGCTCCACATCCAGTGGGGATGCAACCTTGTGAAGAGAAGCATAAACAGGTTCCGTTTTTGTTTCTGAAAGCTCTCCGATCTCTTGAGGTTGACAGGGCTTTGAAAATGTTGCAGAAGATCCCTGAAAAGGATCACATTCTGGCTCAATATTACTTAGAGATGCAGCAGGAGTAAGAGGTTTGACATCAATATCCAGTTCAACAGGTGGGTTTACAGCTCTTATGGACTCGCTCAGCTTTTCATTAAGTTCTTTGACAGTTACATCTTCTTTTATCATGGGTTCAGTGGGCATAGCACTCACTATAACAGCTGTGTTCTCCTCCTTTAGGCTAATTGATGGCAGAGAATCTACTGGAGCATCTTCTGACTGCTCAGTCACTATTTCTGGACCATCTTTGTTTGAGGGCAAAACTGGCTTGTCATGCTGCACAGAAGTTTCTGAAACTTTAGACCGAGACATTGGTGATGTTGTAGCTGGAATATGACTAACTGTTAACTCTTGGGAAATTTCTGATACATTGGGGGAAGGCCCAAACTCTTCATCCAATGTCTTTTCCTCCTCCTCCTCAGTTAGACTAAATCTTTCCGAAACTGGCAGCTGTTGGTTCTTATCTCTTTGCTGAAGTTCTAAGAAACGACTATGAAAAAGTACTCTTGGTTCTTGAGAGAGGTCTGATCCTCCTGCTCCAACTTGTTCCCCTTTGGAATCACTTGTAATACTATCTCTACCAACTCTAACTTCAGGGTCATTATTTTTCCACTCAAGGTGCTGAAGTCGCCTTGAGTCCTGTTCAAAGATAGAGCTATGAAGGAAGCGTGAAGCAAAGAGCTCTTGTCGTTCTTGTTCATCAGGCTTGGCATCCTTCTTTTTATCATCAAGCTTTCCATCAGAATCAGAGCGAATTTTCTTTTTTTTCATGTACCAAGACGGAATTGGCCTTGGAGTGGGTTCAGACTTCTCTTTGTCTGTGCTATTCCGAAAGCTTTTGAATTGTGAGTCATGACCAAGGAAAGACCAATTTTCTTCCCTAGATGAGGACAGTGACTTAGCACGCTCAAGCAAAGCTTTGGTGTCTGGTGTTATGGTCTTATCCAATGCAAATTCATAGAACTTGTTCTTTTCAAGTGACTCAGAAGACTTCACATCTGAAAGCCTCTCTTCATGCTCTCTTTTGAAAGAGTTTGGCTTTAGTGAAAGGTGTCTGCTTTCACTATCTTCATCAGAGTCTGTCTGAACCTCCCCGGGTTCTAATTCACGTTCTGGACGTTTTCGGATACTTTCCCGTTTAACAATGCTGGTGGGGAAACTCATTTCTCCTCTCAATGTGCCCTGCCTAATATTGCTCTCCCAACAGAACTCCTCTTCTGTGACTGATGTTTTCACTTTCAAAATCTCTGCATGCGATGAAAGCCCTTGGCGCACTGCGTTGCCAATATTGTATTTAGATACATCAAAATGCAAGCAATTTTTATTCATTGCCACAGGTGAACCTGGCTCTTTTTCCAGCAATTGTGATGCATCCTCAGCAAAGGGTGTCCCTGGAAGCGAAGCAAGTCTCCTTTCAGGTTCATCATTTATCTGTCTGAACCTCTGATAATCTCTCTGTCTTTTAGTGCCAAAATCTAATTCAAATGGTCCTGACTTCTTTCGCTTGCTGGGTGGTGAATCGCCAGTTACATCTTGAGGTGGTTTTCCTATCTCATGCACAAGACTTCGATGCTCAAAGTCCTCTGCACCAGTGCTGGGTGTGCTTTCAGTTTTATCAGATTTATCATACTCTAGCAATTCCTGATGTAGGCGACGGTTCTGCTCCATTTGTTTTCTGCAACTCTGTGAGTGATCAATGTCTGAGAGCAAACTTTCTTTACTTTCAGGATCTCTTTCTAGCCTTGAGGAGAGTATGTGGTAGCTAGTTAAGTGCTGCTGTTCTTGGTCTCTTGAAAATTCCATATCTATACTTCCATCATCAGAGTCTGCAAGACTGAAACTTGGTTGACTTTGAGCTCCAACAGTACTGGTCTTTTGATCAAGGCTATCTAAGGGATCTGTTGCCTCCTCAGTTGGTTCCCCAAGTCGAGCCTGAAGGTCTAGACTGAGGCCTACTGACATTACAGTGTCTAGCTCTTCTTTTGTAGTATTAACAGTAATCATCCTCTCTAGCTTAATTTTTTCTCTTTTATACGCTTCTTTTCGTTGCATCTTTTTATCATAATCAATGTCTTTCAGCAATGATTCATCAATAATTGTCCTTAACTTCACTTCATCCTCCTCCTGACTTATCTTCCTTAAATTGTCAGCCTTTCCAGAAGTTTCTTCAAAGCGCCTCTTCCGTGCAGCCAAGCGGTCGGCATCCACAGAAGAGCTAGTGTCAAATGCAAAATCAGTTTTGAAGTATTTTTTGTTTTTAACTTTTCCCTCTTTATCCACAACCTCAACTTGACTAGCCAAGCCTTTCTCCTTGAGATGTTTTCCATGCTTAAAGAAATCTCTAGCCTGAGTCTCTATGCGGAAAGGCATACTTTTGTCATCAGCAGAGGGTGGGGTGGTTGGAGACCGAACAGGGTCACTCCCAACCTTTGTTTTTTGTTTCTCACTGAGGATACTGTCTATTAACTTCCCTTCCTTCTCCTTTACTCTTGTCAGCTGGACAACACAAGGTGGCAGATCAAGTTTTCCTTTTCCAGAGTAGTCTTTGTTCAATGATTTGCTGGATTTACCTCGCAGAGTTAAGATAGCGTCTGCGCTGGTGTCCCTGTCAAGTTCAATGTCTGGCTCTGATGATGGAACAGTAGGGGATGCAAGTTTCAATTTCCTCAGCTTTGGCTTCTCAGTCCTGTCCTTGTCACCTTTTTCCTTACGTCCAGCACGTCTGTCTTTTTCTCCTCCATTTCCACGCTCTGCCTCAAAAATTGATTTGTCTTTCTCTGATTTATCACTCCTATTGTGCCTCTCCAAACGAATTTTATCTGGCTTTTCAAGTCGTGGTGGAGAAAGTGAGCTGCAGCTGCCACTTCGCTCAGATGAGTGGCTGTAAACACGATGTTCAGAGTCACTGGGAGGATGTTCAGAAAGGGATGGGGAGGCAGCAGGACTAGCAGGACGACGTGGATGGGATGGGCTTTGATTGTGTTCAGTTGTTCGTCGACCGTGGTCTCGTTCACGATCCGTTTCAAATCGCTCTCTTTCCCTTTCACGCTCTCTTTGTAAGTAGCTGTACTTCCGAATATCCTGCTCATATGGGTCTCTATAATCCCTGTATTCACGGGGGTCATCATAGTATCGTGGGTCATAATAATCTCCTTGATAAGGATCCCATTCTGAATAAAACTCTCGACTTCTGGCAGGATATTTCCGACGTGGATCTTCTGTGTAGGAACCTGGGGAACGCACATTCTCATAGTATGCCCGTTCAGCTGTGAACTCATGATATGGCGGTCGGCGCTCATCTCTGCAAAAAAACAAATAAAATTAATGAAAATGAAAGGATGATTCTACAAAATAAAAGAGGTGTTATCATACAACATCTCACCTTCGTTCATTTATGATTTCATAGAAATCTCTTATGTCTTGTCCAGATGCCTGCATTGAACGGTAAAAAGTCATCTGGCTTTCCTGGTTGGCAAAGTCAACCTACAAACAAATTTAATTAACAGTGTTAGACAAACAAACAGTTGGTTTGTCAGTGGGACAACTCGTATTATATTACAGACCTTTATTTTATTTCCTCCAATTTTCCAACCCTTTGTTTCCTTGACAGCGGCCTGTGCATACTCTATATTATTATACAAGATGAGGGCCATTCCTTTTAGTCGGTCGAACACAACCTAAATAAATTTAAAAAAAATTTATATATAGAAATCAAGTGAACTTCAAAATGCAATGCATTTATTCTAATGAAGAAAGAGAACAGAACAATAATAATCATTTGAAATCATAAAGAAATTAAAGAAATTTGAAATCACCTTTACAACATGTCCATAACGACAAAAGTGCCTTGTGAGATACTGCTCGGTAATACTGGAGGACAAGCCGTCCAACCATACACATGTTGTAGGCATACTTTTGCCAAAACCAAGCTGAAGGAAAGACAAATTCACAAAGTCAACCAATGTCCTGTGTAATCTATAGGTTTTTAATTCCAATGAGTACAATTTTTTTTTTTAATAATTGTAAATACTCTTTTTTTTTTATGTTTGTATTAAATGAGGATTGGCTGTTAGCTATATGTAACAAAAAAACTCCAATAATAATAATCTGATCTCATCCTCACCTTTAACCTGTTGTTGCCAAGGTATTCACCATCCATTTTCTTAATTGCTTTACAGACACTTGCTATGTCACAATACTGGAGAAAGGCATATTGTGGGGAACCATTTACCTTTTTTATATCGATATCCTGGTAAAAACAGAATATGTATATAAATATGCAGCGTTAATACAGTGACTGTTTTGTAAACTTGCACGATTTTTAAAGCACACTTTCAAATGTCTACTTACAACAATCTCTCCAAAACGCTGAAATATGTTAAGCAAGTCATGATAAGTTGTGGTTTTCTCCAAATTTCCTATGAATAATGTCCTTGTAGCTTTGGGGTGAAACTCATCTATACGTTCATCCAAAGGTCGGAACTCATTCTCACTCTCTGTTTCTATTGAGCAATAGATTAGAGAACAATGTTAGGTCAAATGCTGCTTCTAAATCTAATAAAAACAAAGGATTCTGTACAAAATGCGAGGAACCTACCTGGGCCATGCCAAGCAGTGACATCAATTTGCATGCCAAAAAACAGCTTCCCTTTAGATGCACTTAAAGCTTTTTCTTGGTCCTCTTGCTGGCGAAAGAACACTAATCCATATCGTTCCTCAGAGGCACCATGGATTTGAACTGATGTGACTTTGCCATGTTTCTTAAATTCATGGAAAAGACCATCCTTCAGGCTTGTATCTGTATTGATAGGGAGAGCATAATCACATTAATTTAGATGATGTCTCGCTAAAGTGCGTTCCAAGATAATGTTTAAATTAGTTGAGCAATGTTTTTTGTTTTGCTGTTTGAAAAATGCATGTGTTCATTTTGACTTCATAAAAGCCTCACCCAGGGGTTAAAGCAAAAAAAAAAATCCTGAGCCTGAACTTTTTTCCGGGGGCGGGGCAGCACATGCAAAGCATGCAATGACTGTGGCAAATTTAACATTTCAAAGGATACTATGGCAAAGTTATTGCTTTCTTTATTCAAACTGGTCTTTTTTTTCATGAATATATGGTTGACCTGAAGAATGAAAGCTGAATGACTTGGAAAATTATGAGCTATATCACCGCTTATCGACACTAGGGGTGTAGTATACTTAGCTCACGAGACGAGACAAAGTACATATACTTGGTTCACTAGAAAGTGACAATATTTTAATACTATTTTTAAGAAATTTTCAATGACAAAATATTTGTCTTTTAATTACAAAAAGTAAAACAATGCAGTTGTATTTAGAAATATTTTAACTAATCTAGGGCTGTAACTAATGATTATTTTGGTAATTAAGTAATCTGATATTTATTAGTAACAAACAGACCTAAGTGAAAACCAGGCTTTAGTATGACTATTTATATATAAACTAACGATGAGGCAATAATAATTGGCTCAAATAAAATATCAAAACCAAGAAATTACATTGTATTGAACAACACTACACATGCAGAAACTTTTATTTTGAAATCGCGATGTACAATACATGGCATATTTAGACATAGGTTGATGTATTCTCCTGTGTTGGCAAAGGTTTCTAAATGATTTACGTCACATATCTAGTGAGATAATACACACTGTTTTTCCAGATGAACGTTAAGCAATTCAAATTCACGGCATATGCAGAGGAAGAGTTTGGCCCCTTTCACACATACAGTACTGGTAAATTACCATCATGTGTGAACAGGACCTTTTCAAAAATCCCGGTAAATTTGTTCTGGCAATCATATCGTTTTATGGAGATGACATGATTACTCTGAGCTGTTTACAAACCTCTGCTGCTTTTTAATTAATTATTCTATGTAAATATGCACTAGATGGACATCTTTGACCATTGCGCCTTGCAGCTTTTTGTCGCGCTTCTCCATTCATCAGGGCTGCGACTCCGCAATTGGATACTATTATGCACGTCTCGTGTTTATAAGAGCAAAACATTCTGATTGGTTAGTAATGTTAGTTTGGTTGAGCGTGAAAGCTGTGCTCCTCTCATACCATTGGTAGGCGAACTCATGGACTCGAAAGTGATATCAATCAACAAGATTTTTTTTTTAATGTGGGACTATTTTTTTCTGCAGCCAAAGGCTGCACGCCGGAGATCCGGCACGGTGCCGGAGAACTTTAAGCCCTGCTCACCTGTTGAGCGCACAGGGAGATTCTGCACTTTGATACCAAAACTTTTGCGAGGTTCATCTTTGTCCAGTGAAGGTAGGGGCTGAGCAGAAGGGGCAGGTACAGCTGCTGACTGAACAGATCTAGCTGGAGACCGATCACTGGAACTGCTGCTGGAATCACTACTGTGAGAGAATAAAAACACAAACCTCGTTAGAATGTAGCAAAAGGTGAACACTAACAAATGCATAGTGCTATAAAAATGATGTGGTTCAGAACTTTGCAGAACAGAACGATTATCAATCAATAACAACATAGGCAAACATATAGCCTCATAAGATTTTTTTTTTTGGTGAATCCTTCAAGGGAATTTACAAAACCTAACTACTAAACATATAGTACATATAATAAAGATAATATATATGTAACAGCTAATACAGTTTATTCATGCAGTTTATTTTCCCACCTCAGAGAGGCACTATTGCAAAAAAGAAATTCTGTCAGTATTGCAAAAAAGAAACAGTGCCTCTTAATGACAGTGAAAGTATCTACCACACTCTAGGTAATCTTATTTGCCAACTGCAATGGAGTATTACAGAGAAAAAAAAAGGTGGATATCTAAAACTAATTCCTCTACTCACACAGAAAGGACTGGCAAGCACACCTGACATTCATCTGCATGAGGCTGTCTACTAAATCAACATAACTACTACACTGGTGTTAGGCTAGTCATTTTCAAGTTTCAATTAGTGAATTAATGCTTTATTTCTCTACATATCTAAATAGCCACTGATGTGCAAGCTACCAGATGACTGCATGAAAAGCTGAAATTTGTTCAAAATTTAAATCTGTGTATTTAAAGTGCTTGGTTCTTCTATTCAAATAAAGTCATTTGGTAGCTTGCACAATTGTAATATTATAATAATAATTAAATAAATACATATACACAAATCCATTTATCTTTCATTATGCTTATACATTTAAAATGCTACATATAAATATATTAACTGCCTAAAACTGAAACTGAAATTACAGTGGATACTTCTTTCCTCAATGATTCAGGCATATACATGGCTTTCCTTTTGTCTGTTTACATCTTTGCACTGCCCTCTCTTATCACTCGCTCTCAGAAGTGCGGCTGATAGGGGCTGGCCTGTGGGAGTGGGCAGGGAGCCAGCAGTGGCTAGAAATTTCCAGTTCCAACTGGATCTCACGGGGGTGGGGGGAGTTCAAGTGGGCAGTGTGAAAATACACCAGCCGTTGATTCTTAAAATTCCCCTACAGCATTTTCTCCTCAAGAAGCGTACAATACAACTAACATATAGGAAAACAATCAGTGTTGGGCAAGTTACTCTGAAAATGTAATCAAATTACTGATTACTCATTTTAAAAGTAATCACGTTACGGTTCTGATTACTTTATTTCAAAAGTAATTAGTAATTAGTTACATTACTAGTTACATTACTTTTTTCTCCATGAAATTTATGAAATCCCAGCATACACGCTCCCGATAAATATTCGTTATTAAAGCATCAACATTCACAGAACACTGTTATTTTTAACTTAAAGCAAGCGGCTGGCTGCGTGCATGGTTTGGCATGGCAGAATGTCAGCAAAGAGCGCTGCATTTATAATCTCTAAAAGACATCTCAGTTCATCGCAATCTCACAAATCTCTGTCAAAACACAATAAATATATGCATAATGAATCTTTCATAATGTCTACAATTCGTGTGTTATAATGAGAGGATTCGTGAGCACGCAAATTTCAGCACTGCATTGCTCAACGCTGCAAACACGTGTTATAGCCTAAATAGAAACTCTGCATACGCTTGCACCTGTTAATCGTTTATATTTTATATTGGTTCATGTTGCTTTTGTGCAATAGATGAATAACAATTTATTTGTTTTAGATATTTTATGTTTAGATATTTCTATTTTGCGGAGTCCCGTGAATCGTTTTATTCTCCCGCATCCCACACACATGAGTGTCTACCCGCCCGCACCAGCACTCGCCCATCTTGTCCCACGCCGCACTCTGCTGCGTTGGGTCTCGCGGGAGCAGGTCTCTAATCTACTGGCACTTGACTTGACAGTGCGCGTGCTACATCTCTAGATTATAAAACACTGTATTCTGTCAGCAATGTAACGCGGCAGTAACATATAGAGACCTCGGCTTGTAACTGTACTCTAATTACTATTTTGAAAATTATAACGCGTTAAATTACTCCGTTACTAAAAAAGTAATCAAATTACAGTAACGCGTTACAAAGTAATGCCTTACTGCCCAACACTGAAAACAATATGCTTCATTTTTTTTTGTTTATATGCACAATGGCCCTTATTTATAAAAGAACCAACTCTGCTTTAAAACAAAAAGGAATGTTTTTAAAGCCCCGAGTCAAAGAAAATGGAAAAGGCACCCTCAAGATTTCCTTGCATGTCAACAAACAAACATTTAAAACGGCACTCAATTCCTATGGAAGCCAACCCTGTAGTTTGCAGCTAAATAACACAAAAACGGTTGTTTGGTGCATGCTCTAACAAACAAAATTTATTTATACATAATAATTACTATGGTGCACCTAAAATAAAATCATCACGAGCAGCACATTTTCACCCTCTGGTTGATTATCTCTAAGCTAAATTTCGCCTTAGGTATCAATAGAAAAACCTTTCCATTTCTGACTTATTAATTTAGAGGTTTAACAACATTACGAATAGGTAACAGACATTTTTGGATTCAATCCCTGGGAAGTTTTTTGGTGTTTCCTACTACTTAATGATTCGCAAAGAAAGCTAGCTACTGCTTTTCATCGGTCTGCTGCGAGCTTTGTCTCTGCCTGCCTTACACTGTTTGCTGTGTGGCTGATGCACATGGAACAGCTGCTGTATCTAGGATGAAGGCATTTTCTAAAGGTAACAGTTTTAAAAGACATTAGAGAGTAACAGTGTGGCCTTGCAATAACATTTAAAGGCACAATATGTAATTTTCGCCGCTAGAGGGCGCGTATTCAAAATAAACAAATAGACAAAGGCGTAGTTTGATGACACCGTGACTGAGTGTGGAATCATGGGAGTTGTCGTCTTCATCCCCACAGCCGATGCAATCCGACGGGACTCGGGCAGAAATCGTGTTCATAGATGAGCTAATGATTTATTAACGTAGTAGTATGAAGTAGGGTGAGGCTGAAAGCCGTCGAAGCGAAACGAGGCCGCTGAACGAGCGTGACACACGGCTCGAAAGCAGCGGAGCTTTTATTATGCCACAGTCGACCGTAGGGCTGTAGCGATTCGTCGATTTTATTCGATTTTTAAAAATCCTTGACTTCATTTTGCTTGTGTCGACTAACCGGCAAAATACCGGAAGTGGCGCATTTCACGGACGAGAATCCATAAAACACAATATTAGTTTCCCAAGGCTGCATGATATATTAAACCCATTTAAAAATCATAATTAAGCATAATTGTGAATTCACAAACGCTACGATTTAATTAAATAATTATATGCGATGCAGTTCTAATACAGTATATGCGCTTTAATTATTTACATGCATGTAGGTTAAGTACATGCGTCACACAGCGGCTCCATTCACAGTAGTTCCACAGGAACTGTTATCATTGACGTGTGGAGCGTCTCAAACTCCATCTCTGCATGTTGTTTTGGTTTATTATAACATTCATCTGGGAACGCAACGTGTGCCATTTCATCAGATTTGTAAGGTAAATGATTTAGAAATCTACGCAAACTCAGGAGAATACATCGTGGTTTCAAAATAAAAGCTCAAACCCTCACTCTGAGTTTACATGTTTTGATGTCCACATATTCTTTTAATTACAGTGGCTATAGCATTTCTGTCCTAAAGAAATGGCCAAATATTAAAGATTAAGTGGACATTT